TATGTGCTATTAATATATTAATATATAATACATAAACTACAGGCATACCATTTCATGTAACTTATAGACCTGAGTTAGGGTTAGAGATGCAAGAATTCTAAAAGTTACGTAAACTTTGAATAAATGAGTTCGCACCTCTTGTTTAGAACCTTGACTTGGTACAAGTAAATCTTTTTGATTCATTCTTACAAGTTAAAATTTTGAAAAAGCTATCCTGATAGTTTTCATGAATTTATTAATATATAGTAATCCAGTTTTTATTGTGTGATATAAAATGATTAAATAAAAAATTTTGTTTATTTTATTAGTATATTCTTAAAAATAGAAAAAAGTTCAAATGTGCAACTTTGTATACAGTACCATATATATACATATAGAATATTATAACAGAAAAATACTGATAACTAGAAATAAAAACTTGTTTTAATTCTTACCGTATATATATGCTATGCTATTAATAATATATTAATTAAATACATTTCTTGCAATAACTACAATAACTAATTTATTATCAATATCTTTAATTATATGATATATATACTATTTGAAGATACAAGTTTAAAATATGCAATATATTTGATTCAGAAAATTTTTCATTTTTATTGCAAACTTGTTAAAAACAAGTTTCTTATAACTATAATAATAGTACAGTAGTACAGTACAGTACATAATAACAGGAGATCTGTACGTACAGTATGCTGCATATAATATAATGAGCATACATTTGGACAACTTTAAAAGAATATCATCTTAATTATATTTTATTAGGAATAATTTGAAATCTTTGGAAATTATAAAACTTTAAAATCATAATAGAGGAATTCATGTCATTAACTGCGAATTCAGTCACAACTATGTTTGACTCCTCTGTTGATCAAAAGGTACAGTATCTTTGTCCATTTGGATATATAAATTCTGTAATTCGGCTTCGGTGCATTTCACAATGCATATAATTAAGCATCGTTGCATCATATCTTTTATTCTTTTTTAGAAGTCAATTTTACCTATGCCTCTTACTCACACTAATGTATTGCAAGTATTATCAATTCATGATGAATTACCGTATATTGTTTTTTAATAATGAGTATGAATATTTTATAATTATTATATTCATTTTAAAGTTATTGATAAAATTATATTTTTTAAAGATCATATGGGTATATACGATGAGGAATCGTTCGCTTGTCAAATCACAAAGTTTATGTTGGTCCAAAAAAGGAACGAACATTTGTTAAAGAAAAGATTTTGATCTCTAGATCTGGTCAAGGTCTGTTTTGTTTCCCTCCAGCTGTATCAGAGTATAACACGAGTTCATTTATTTCTTCTCTAGTCATAACCACTGATTTAAATGGTTCCAAGATATTTTATTGTACTTGGGGTGCTTTACCTTCTAGGTAGTTGTATGTCTTAAACAGTCCTACAGATGTAGACTTCTGGCGCCACTTGAGATCAATTTTGAAGTAATCTTTTAATTTGTATTTATGCGAAATATGCAATTTAAAGAGAGCCAATAATTAATTTATCTGAGTGCTAATCATAAGGCTATATAAACTTAATAATTCAGTTTTCATGACCCAGCCGGTCAAAATTTACAAATTTTTTTAAAAAATTTTAAATATATTTACTATCCGGGTGAGTTTTTTAAAAAATCTATAAAAAATTTTATAAGTTTTTTATGTATAAAATTTTTTTGAAAATAAAATTAAAAGCCAGGTTGCCGAGATACTTTAAAAATTTTATGTTATGAAAACTGATTTATTAAGTTTGTATGGCCTAATTTTTGTTATTAAAGTTTTCGGCTATATTAACTCTTTAAATTGTATGTATATATTAAAATGAGTTGCTGTGCTTACTGTTGATTTTTAGTTTACGCGTTTTTATAATAGATTTATGGTGACGTCAAGAAATTCTAACTAGAATCCATTATGCTTATGTGATCTACTATGATCTTCATGATGCAATCAAGGATATAAGATTCTCTGTTATCAAGACGCACCTTATAATCAGTGAAGATTGAAAATCCAGTTTTCTTCTAAACAATACGCTATGCAGGTATGTTTCTATTAATATGTTTCTATTAATAATATTTTCTTAATGATAACTTTAAAATGATAATATCAATTTTAATTATAATGATAATTATATAATTCTGATTAAAATTATTATAATTATTAAAACTTATTAATGTTATGAATATTAAAATTTCTATAAAATTATTTTATATGTAAAAAATATGTATATAGGAATTGTCAAAGATCAAAGGTAATGAATGTGATTGGGTGAATGAAGGTATCATCATGATTTCTTGGATTGGTGCACAATCAATTCAATCTACGGTCTTGGTAAAAAAATCCTATATATATTTATATTAGTTTTAAGAATTTATTGCTGATTATTATTTCATTTTATTATTAGGATCATTTCGCTTAAGTGGGTACAATTAGATTTGCTAGATCTTTCTTAGTTAGACAAACACTGGTTTTTTTAATCAAATATTATGATATATATACTGCTCGAGCCTCCAAAGAATCAATAAATGGCATAATTATTGAGGTATTTTATATTTGTGATTTATTCAATTATTTAATCCTATCATTTATAATTTATTATTTATTAATGGGAAGGTCAATAGGAAACAAGAAAATTGTTTCTTTTTTTTAATTTTTTTATTTTAATTCTATAACTATATAGAATTAAAACAAAAAAAAAAGCTATTTAGAAACAATTTGCTTTTTCTATTGACCTCATTCCCATATATTTATAATTTGTTCATTTAGTTATATTTATAATTCATCATTGATTTATTTTATAATTCGTTAGTTTATTTATAATTATAATTTCTTATAAAAATAGGGGGTTCAAATCCGTGTTCAATATTATGATACTGGATCACATTCATGGGATGTGGTTGCTGAAGACTTCAAATATCATCAAAAAAACTGGTTTGACCATTCCCCTGCCCCTATGCCAGTTTCTAGTTGCTCCTTCACCAGGCCTAGAAAATAGGTCTAAATATATAGCACAGGTTTTTTCATCCCCACCTGAAAATAGTACCATGATCTTGTCTGGTAACAGAACTATCCCAGAAAAGAATACTCTAGATATTGAAAGAATTACAAATAGTATTTTTAATTTATTATCTCTAAAGGGTAAGGTGAACATAAATCAAAAATACACCTGCACCTATTTTTTTGATACATCAAAACATATCCCAACCAAATAGTAACCAGCAGGTTGCATGTAATTATAAAGTTAGAAATTTTAGATTATGTAGTGAGCAAATATAATTATTACAAAAATATAAACATATAAAAATTAAACAGTTTAAGCCAATTTTAATTATTTATAAATCGATTATGACTAATTTTAAAATATTTATATATAGGCCTTGACTATTTAAGTTTTATACATTATATTTTCATAATTATATTTATTTATATATACAAGATATGACAATATATGATTCGACCAATAAGAATTGGCAATTTTTGTGTGAAGGAAAAACATAAAATTTTGATTATAAGCGAATTAATTTTTTAAAAGTTATATATATTCCTGTAACTTTACTATTATAAACAAACTGTTTTTAAACTATGTTTTATAAGATTTTGATAATAATTAGGTAAGTTTATTGATTTATCTTAATTTTAACATTTCATAGGTCTTGACAATCATACCACGTTCATGATTAGGAACATTCTGAACAAGTATACTCAGGTATGTGGTCATTCCATTATCAATAGATATTTTGAGTTGTTTCTTACATTACTTGCGTAAAATGTAGCAAATGCTGTTGGATTGGCTTGACAAAACCTATTGCGGTCAATACGATTTCGTCTACTTGCGTATAGATTTTAAAAATAAGTGTAATATCAGATACGCTTTTGTTAACTTTGTAGATATCAGATAAACTTCTTTAAATTTGTATTATTTTATTGCCTTTTCCTAATACTGATATTTTATATATTGTTTCAAAGTGCCGTACTTTCTTTTGCTAAAGCATGTGTTGGAAAAAAATAGTAGTTGTATTTCCTTTATTTACCCAAGTTTTTACACAATCATCACGCAGTCCTTATAACAAATAATAACGTTTTAAAAGATCAAGTTTTAACTCTGCCAAGATTTGTGAATTATCGTATACCAATGTCCAGAGCAAAAATGCGCTTATCCAAAAGTTTAGAAATTCCTGGTACATATATTAAAAGAGTTTTTATTATCACCATATAATAATAGTAATTTATTATTATAATTATTTTTTTAGTGTTATGTCAGAAACTCCCGAATATCATCCTAAACTCTTTCATTCTGCAGGTCCTATATGCAGTTATGAAATGCCTTTCCCAAGACCCGATAGCGTACAAAATTTTTTTAATATAAATTTATATACCAACATAAGGCATAGTTACTTTATTCTTTTTATCTGCTCTTGAGATTTTAGTGTATTTTTTAAAAGTATCTAGAAATTGTTTCATTAGATGGAATTTTATTTGTTTGTATATAACTTTTATTTTTAACTTTTATTTTATATATTTCTTTTATTTTTCTTTTGTTGTGGTTTTTGTGATAGCTATTATGTTATGCTATTTGGCTGTCTCAACTTCATTAGTAGCTCTTTTCATCTTCATTGAAATCGAATATTATAAAAATAAATAAAAAAATCTGCATGTTAACGACATTTCATAATAATGAAGTTAGTATTTAGATTCATAATATCTGTGATATTCTAAAACAATCTAGATTGTAGGCAATTATAGCTCTATCATAGTTACAATTAAATATGTCTATTTACATGATTCCTAAAATTTTTCGCGTACAGTACATCAGTATATACGCACCTGTGCAGTACATAATTTTGAAATAAAATGATTAAAATGATAAATTATAGCCAATCAAATCTTGCTATTAATCACATAATAATTTCAGAAATTGAAAATTGTTTTGAAAATTAAATTCTGGTTGGCTAAAAAGTTTTTTTTTGGTGATATCGGAATAAAATGGAATAAAATAGAATAAATAGAATAATTGATGTTAGTATGATAAAAATTTTCAATTTAATAGCGGAAGTATTTCCCGTTTCTATCTCTCACTAGAGCCAGGCTGAAATCTAAAAATTTTAACAACCTCTCAAAATTGCGGGCCTGGTATTTATAGGAAGACTTTCATATGATTGGCTGTTAAAATCAATTTAATTTTACATTATTTATACAGTTTAAAGTACTTTTTTAAAATAAATAAAACTACAAAGAATAAGTTAAGTAGTAGGACTTTACAATTAAAAATAATCAAAATCCGATTTTGTTTAGCATAATAATAACCTATTTTTAAGAAGTCGTTGTTATGCTAATTTCTCTAAAACAAAATGGAGATTTTGATTATTTTCAATAGTTGAGTCTTACAACCCTAATAAAACTTTCTATAAACTTCTTTTTTACTTATTCTTTGTAGTTTTATTTTTTTTCAAAAAGTACTTTAAACAGTATAAATAATGTAAAATTAAATTGATTTAAATAGCCAATCATCTGAAAATCTTTCTATAAGCCTGGAGTGTAACGTCATCGTAATGACTGGTCTTTCTTTTAATTATAAAAAGTAAAAAAAATAAGTAAAATAAGTTCTTCGGTTTTTGACGAAAAATTTTGATTTAAATTTCTTTATTAAATAATATTGTAAATTTAAGTATATACTGCAAAAGCAAATATTGATATATTTTTTATTGAAAGAGATTACTATTCGTTTGTACAAATTATTTCCCTTATGACTTTACAATTTCTACTAAATCTATGATTGTTTGATTTTATTTAACTATTTCTATTACAATACTTTTTTTGTTTCATAATCTCTAAATTTTCTTGTTCTAATTCTGCGATCCTATCATCTTTTAGTTTAATTTCTTTCTTCCGATCATTATTAATTTTTTTTAACTGCTTTTTGACTTCATCACTTTCATCATGTATTTGTTTTAGATCGTTTTTCAAATATTTAATTTTTTTTTATTTCTCCCTTTCTCAGCTTCTAAAGACTTAATTTTATCATTCAGAGCTAATTCTGATGCTTCTAGTATCGTCTTTTTCTGGAGAAGTTCTCTGTATTTCCTATTGAGGTTATCAATTTTTTTTTGAAATTCTATAATCTTCACATCGAGTTCCACTTTTTTTTTAGTAGATTCTAGCTCCTTTTCGATTACAGCAAGTTTTTTATTAGTGTATTTTAGCTCTTTTTCGGTTACAAGTTTTTTATTAGTGGAT